CAGAAAAGACAAAATTGATGACAAATAACACCATCGGCATCGCCATTGAAATTAAGGTCAGAGAGGAAAGATTAGAGACAATAGGCAGCTTCAATTACCTAGGAGCAACAGTCTCGGAAGAAGGCTCCAAGCCCAAATTGATTTCTAGGTTTGCCCAGACCACAACAGCACTAAAATGGCTTAAAAGAAAATGTGGAGTGGCAAAAATATAACCCCCAGCACCATAATCCCGCTGATGCGCTCATTAGTCATCTTCATTTTCTGGTATGCTTGCGAGTCCTGGACATTAACAGCTGATCTTGAATGAAAAATTTAGGCGATTGACATAAGATGTTTCAGAATTAATCTTGGCATCTGCTATAGAGACCATACCTCTAACGAAAAGGTGAAAGGAAGGATTCGTCAAGCAATTGGGCAGTACGATGACCTAATGGTGACTTTAACAAAGCGCAAAATGGAATGGTATGGCCACGTGACAAAAACAAGGGCTCGCCAAAGAAATCAGGGCACAACAAGAGGAGGGAGAAGAAGAGGAAGACAGAGAGAAAGATGGGAGGATAACATCAAAGAGTGGACGGGACTAAAACTAGGCAATGCTGTGCAAAGTGCCGAAATCAGAGATGAATGGAGAAGGATGTCAATTGTGGTGCCTCAACGGTCCAAGGACTAAGGGACATGATTATGATGATTATGATGATTATGATTATGATGATGACACATACGATTAAATGAAATCAATTGTTATTTTATACGTTTAGAGGGCATTATTGGTATTTCATACATTTAGACGACTTCATTGGGATTTCATACGACTAGATGGTATTATATGTATGTCAGATGTTTAGAAGACATAATTGGTGTTTTGTATGATTCTTTTGACATATCCAAGAGATATTTTTAATAATCCGAGAGTTCATGGTATGTTTTACTCTCTGGATTGTTTTAATCTCAAATTGCAAGCCTACAGGTCGGCCTACGAGTCCTAAATAAAAATACAATCAAAATATACTTCATTTAACTACCACTCTATGCTACATGTACTTACCGTCGAATATAGATAGCTGTCGTCGTCTTCGCTTTAAAGGACGAACAACAGTGTCTAGATGTGATCATGAAGCTAAATATTTACCCAAATCTTTTGCGTGATCATTATATTGTATAGAAATCTTTTGCATACTAAAATTTGAATCTTGTTTAGTAGAGATTGAATCTTGTATAGTTAAGATTGAATCTTGTATAGTTAAGATTGAATCTTGTATAGTCGAGATTTAATCTTTTATAGTAAAGATTGAATCTTACATGGTAGAGGTTGAATCTTGTATAGTTGATATTGAATCTTGTATAGTTGAGATTGAATCGTTTATAGTAGAGATTAAATCTTGTGTACTAGATATTGAAACTTGGATAGTAGGGATTAAATATTGAATGATGGTAATAAGGGGATAGACAGCAATCAGGTTAGCAAAATATAAAATGCGTAAAACAAAGTAGGGTTAATAAAACCTGCAAAGAATTTGCTGCCCACAGATAATACTTCTAAGCTATTTTTTTATTATATTCTGTTTTATCTGTTGTTTTGCTCGCTGACGAAGGCTTCCTGCCGACACGTTCGTTGTTTTGTTTTGTTGCGTTTCATTTTTCAGGTCTAACCTACTTTGTTTTACTCTTTTTATAAATAATGTATAATAGACATTGAATCTTGTATAGTTCAGATAGAATCTTGCATAGTAGAGTTGAATCTTGCATAGTAAGGATTGAATCTTTTATAGTAGAGATTTAATTGTGTATAGTAGAGATTGAAGCTAAGATAGTAGAGATTAAATCTTGCATAGTAGAGGTTGAATCTTGCATAGTAAGGATTGAATCTTGTATAGTAGCGATTGAATCTTGCATAGTAGGGATTGAATCTTGGATGGTTGAGATTAAATCTTGCATAGTAGGGATTGCATCTTGCATAGTAGGGATTGAATCTTGCATAGTAGGGATTGAATCTTGTATAGTAGGGATTGAATCTTGCATAGTAGGGATTGAATCTTGTATAGTAGCGATTGAATCTTGCATAGTAGGGATTGAATCTTGTGTAGTAGCGATTGAATCTTGCATAGTAGAGATTGAATCTTGTATAGTAGGGATTGAATCTTGTATAGTAGCGATTGAATCTTGCATAGTAGCGATTGAATCTTGCATAGTAGCGATTGAATCTTGTTTAGTAAGGATTGAATCTTGCATAGTAGGGATTGAATCTTGCATAGAAGGGATTTGATCTTGCATAGTAGGAATTGAATCTTGTATAGTTGAGATTGAATCTTGCATAGTAGGGATTGAATCTTGGATAGTTGAGATTGAATCTTGCATAGTAGGGATTGAATCTTGGATAGTAGGGATTGAATCTTGCATAGTAGGGATTGAATCTTGCATAGTTGAGATTGAATCTTGCATAGTAGTGATTGAATCTTGGATAGTTCAGATTGAATCTTGCATAGTAGGGATTGAATCTCGGATAGTTGAGATTGAATCTTGCATAGTAGGAATTGAATCTTGTATAGTAGGGATTGAATCTTGGATAGTTGAGATTGAATCTTGCATAGTTGAGATTGAATCTTGCATAGTAGGGATTGAATCTTGCATAGTAGGGATTGGATCTTGCATAGTAGGAATTGAATCTTGCATAGTAGAGATTGAATCTTGTATAGTAGGGATTGAATCTTGCACAGTAGGGATTGAATCTTGTATACTAGCGATTGAATCTTGGATAGTAGTGATTAAATCTTGCATAGTAGGGATTGAATCTTGGATAGTTGAGATTGAATCTTGTATAGTAGGAATTGAATCTTGGATAGTAGGGATTGAATCTTGCATAATAGGAATTGAATCTTGTATAGTAGGGATTGTATCTAGGATAGTTGAGATTGAATCTTGTATAGTAGGAATTGAATCTTGGATAGTTGAGATTGAATCTTGTATAGAAGGAATTGAATCTTGGATAGTAGGGATTTAATCTTGCATAATAGGGATTGAATCTTTGATAGTTGAGATTAAATCTTGCATAGTAGGGATTGAATCTTTGATAGTTGAGATTAAATCTTGCATAGTAGGGATTGAATCTTGGATAGTTGAGATTGAATCTTGTATTGTAGGAATTGAATCTTGGATAGTATGGGATACAATCTTGCATAGTAGGGATTGAATCTTGCATAGTAGGGATTGAATCTTGCATAGTAGGGTTTGAATCTTGCATAGTTGAGATTGAATCTTGTATAGTGGGGATTGAATCTTGGATAGTTGAGATTGAATCTTGTATAGTAGGGATTGAATCTTTGATAGTTGAGATTAAATCTTGCATAGTAGGGATTGAATCTTGGATAGTTGAGATTGAATCTTGTATTGTAGGAATTGAATCTTGGATAGTATGGGATACAATCTTGCATAGTAGGGATTGAATCTTGCATAGTAGGGATTGAATCTTGCATAGTTGAGATTGAATATTGCATAGTAGGGTTTGAATCTTGCATAGTTGAGATTGAATCTTGTATAGTGGGGATTGAATCTTGGATAGTTGAGATTGAATCTTGCATTGTAGCGATTGAATCTTGCTTAGAACAATCGGAGGAAAACGCTGGTAAATTCTAAAAAAATATTGGGAACAAATAAATATGAATATCTTTCGTTCCCACGCCGCATTGACCACATTGAGTCCATCCTTGTTTATTCTGGATAGTGATATCACTAGACTATTACCAGTTCCTCAATGCAACGGCCCTTGTGTTCCTTTGATTATTATACTATGGGAGATGCGTAGAGATTATCAGAGGCATATTAATTTAGATCACAATCACGCACACATTCACACGGAAAAACCAACAAATAAAAACTAATAGGTCACCCTGAGCGAGAATCAAATGACAATAATTCTTTTAGGCGAAAGCTTTATCTCTGCCCAATCACTTACTACCATTTAGTGTTATTCCGTCTTTAATAGTCATGTTTATTGGCTTCATGCACAGGTATGAAACTAATTATGATTAAATCATAGAATGAAATGGGTGATTATAATATGTGTACATAACACAAATAACACACACACACATTTAATCTTAAGCGAGAATCCAACTGGGATCCTAATGAGTCGTCTCTTACTTCCATTGACTGAGGTTTAGTCTAGACAAACAGCTTTATCCACTTACAGATAAAATTACGATTGATAAACAGCTTGTCTTTGACTTTTCTTCCTGTGACATTTCTTCCTCTGACATTTCTTCCTCTGACATTTCTTCCTCTGACATTTCTTCCTGTGACTTTCTGCCTGTGTTCTTTTTTATGTGACTTCTCTTCAATTGATATTTCTTCCTGTGACATTTCTTTTTTTTGAAATTTCTTCTTCTTTTCCCTTTTTCTTGTGACTTCTCCTCATGTGACTTTTCTTCCTGTGACTTTTCTTCCTGTGTCTTTTCTTCCTGTGACTTTTCTTCCTGTGTCTTTTCTTCCTGTGACTTTCTGCCTGTGTTCTTTTTTATGTGACTTCTCTTCAATTGATATTTCTTCCTGTGACATTTCTTTTTTTTGAAATTTCTTCTTCTTTTCCCTTTTTCTTGTGACTTCTCCTCATGTGACTTCTCCTCATGTGACTTTTCTTCCTGTGACTTTTCTTCCTGTGTCTTTTCTTCCTGTGACTTTTCTTCCTGTGACTTTTCTTCCTGTGTCTTTTCTTCCTGTGTCTTTTCTTCCTGTGTCTTTTCTTCCTGTGACTTTTCTTCCTGTGACTTTTCTTCCTGTGTCTTTTCTTCCTGTGTCTTTTCTTCCTGTGTCTTTTCTTCCTGTGACTTTTCTTCCTGTGTCTTTTCTTCCTGTGACTTTTCTTCCTGTGTCTTTTCTTCCTGTGACTATTCACCCTACACTCGTTTATTCACGAACACTTTGTAAAGGAACTACATTTTCGAAATCCTTTCCCGGTCTGTAACAAAAGTCAAGATAAACACCTGGTCTCCTCCAAGGTCAGGTTGTGACGCTTTAAATGACGGTCTTATCAAAGTGCCTGACTTACTTTCATTCTTACTTTCATTTTGTATTTAAAAAATTGGAAATCCCTTTTTTTTTAATAATAAGACTTTATATATAGGGTCTAAATATTGCTAAGCTGAACATATCCAGAAAGGGAAACATTTGGTGTAATCTCTAACACAATGAAACTTGTCCTGTGTCTAACCTTGTGTTTCTTGGTGGCAGGTAAGTGCCAGCTGTCTGTTGTATGTCAGATAAGCGTCAAGTGTTGGGTGACGGTCTGATAATGTCAGGGGAGCGAGTGGGTGGAAGGTGAGTCGCAGATCATTGGCAGGTGAGTGGGAGTTGGGTGCAGGTGAGTGGCAGGTGAGTAGCAGGTGAGTGGAAGGTGAGTAGCAGGTGAGTGGCAGGTGAGTAGCATTGGGTGTCAGGCTTAGTGTCAGGCGAGTAATATGTGAATTTTAGGTGTCATGTGAATGTCAGGTGAGTAGCAGGTGAGTGGAAGGTGAAGCAGATGAGTGGCAGGTGAGTAGCAGTGGGTGTCAGGCTTAGTGTAAGGCGAGTAATAGGTGAATTTTAGGTGTCATGTGAATGTCAGGTGAGTGTCAGTAGGTGTGGTGATTGGCAGGTGAGTTTATGTGAGGGTCAGGTAAATTTCAGATGAATCAGTATGAGGGGTGTGCTTGCAGGTGAATTGCAGGTGAGAGAAATGTAAGTGTCAGCTGAGCGACAAATGAGTTTCAAGTCAGTTTCAGATGAGTGACAGATGAATGGCCGGTTGGTTGCAGGTGAGTAGCAGGTGAGTGGCAGTTGGGTAGCAGGTGAGTAGCAGGTGAGTAGCAGGTGAGTGGCAGGTGAGTGTCAGTTGAGTGGCAGTTGAGTGGCAGTTGAGTGGCAGGTGAGGAGCAGATGAGTGGCAGGTGAGTGGCAGCTTAGTGGCAGTTTAGTGGCAGGTGAGTGGCAGGTGAGTGGAAGGTGAGTGGCAGCTGAGTGGCAGGTGAGTGGCATTTGAGTAGCAGTTGAGTAGCAGGTGAGTGAGTGGCAGGTGAGTGGCAGGTGAGTAGCAGGTGAGTGGCAGGTGAGTGGCAGGTTGGTGGGAGAAGAGTTGCATGTGCTTAACATTTTGTTGTAGAAAGGTAATGTAATAAATAAACCAAATTCTTAAAGTACATACAAGTGATCTTTCCTTGACCCGTGACATAGACTGTAATACTAAAAATATCATCGTAGGAAATGTCATTTATTACGAGTATTTGTCCTATTGACATCTGTAATTGCGTCAGAAATGTTTGATCTTATGTTTCCATACCAGGTGTGTCCCCACTTCTGCTCAACTGCAATCCCAACTGTGGGATAACATGTCCGTCTGGAGAAATCTGCAAGTTTAATGGGTGTGGCTTCAGCTGTCAATCTCTATGTAAGTGGTGACGTCATGAAGGGATTGATAGCCAGACGATGTCTTTGTGATTTTATCAACCAAACTTTGCAGGCATAGATATCATTTTTTTTACTTACATGAAAGAATCTTTATTGATATAAACATTATTTGCTATGAATTTCAGTTTACAGCAGTGGTTCTCAAAATAAACTCATAAAAATAACTCATTAATTTATGGGGTTAGACCAGTTAAGGAAAGATTATTTTTATCTCGGTCTCAAGAGATCGTCTTGATAGGTTTTGATGAGTGTCCTATGTAATCATGGGCGTAATCATTTATAATTGGACTTATATGACAAATAAATGAGACATTTATAACTAAACAAATAAAATTATAACATCTATAAACTAATCTTATGTGACAAATAAAATCATATATCTATAACTATAACTTATGTGACAAATAAAAGTATATATCTAGAACTATAACTTATGTGGCAAAAAAAATTATATATCTATAACTATAACTTATGTGACAAATAAAATTATATATCTATAACTATAGCTTATGTGACAAATAAAATTATATATCTATAACTATAACTTATGTGACAAATAAAATTATATATCTATAACTATAACTTATGTGACAAATAAAATTATATATCTATAACTATAACTTATGTGACAAATAAAATTATATATCTATAACTATAACTTATGTTACAAATGAAATTATATATCTATAACTATAACTTATGTGACAAATAAAATTATATATCTATAACTATAACTTATGTGACAAATGAAATTATATATCTATAACTATAACTTATGTGACAAATAAAATTATATATCTATAACTATAACTTATGTGACAAATAAAATTATATATCTATAACTATAACTTATGTGACAAATAAAATTATATATCTATAACTATAACTTATGTGACAATTGTGACAAATAAAATAAGACGACAGTTATTTCTCAACTGTTGTGACACATCGCATCATTAAAACAGTTCAGTATTCTAATCATTATTTCATTTCTAATTCCAGTTATCGGTAAACGTGCCTGTCAATTTGTCGCCTGTGACCTGTACTGTCCTTTCGGCTTCCAAACGGCCAACGGCTGCACCCTCTGTTCTTGTAAACCCAACCCTCTCATTGGACTGCTGGGCTAGATCACACAGTGAGTACACAATTTCTCATAACGCGTGTGTTTTAATGGGAAATACGTAGTAGGACTACCTGTTAGCTAGGTGCTTATAATCTACCTTGACAGGTTTTTGTTTGTGGGTTGTGTAAGGAGTTTGTTAAATCTGGCGCTGTATTGAGAGTTTGTTGAGATATGTTGGTATTGACAGTTTGTTAAATAGGTTGTCTTACGAGTTTGTTGAGATAGTTTGGTATTAGAGTTTCTTGAAAAAGGTTGGTATCGAGAATTTGTTTACGTACGTGGGATTGGTAGTTTGTTGAGATAGTTTGGTATTGAGAGTTTCTTGAGATAGTTTGGTATTGAGAGTTTCTTGAGATAGTTTGGTATTAAGAGTTTGTTTAGATAGTTTTGTTATGAGAATTGGTTGGGATAGTTTGGTTTTGAGTTTTTGTTGAGATAGTTGGTATTGAGAGTTTGTTTAGATAGTTGGTATTCAGAGTTTGTTTAGATAGTTTGGTATTTAGAGTTTTTTTAGATAGTTTGTTTTTGACAGTTTTTTTAGCTATTTTGTTATTGAGAGTTTGTTTAGATAGTTTGGTATTTGAGAGCTTGTTAAATGTGAATATTATTGAGATTTTATTCTGATTAGTGTTTTGTTATGAGTGATCAGTTTGCTTGTGGTTTCGTTGTCATTTGTCTTAGAAGTCACTAACACTGTTCCTATTTGCTTGTGTGAAAGAACAACAGCTACATTGTCACGCTCAAACAGTTTGGTAAAATGGCCCAAGAGTTAGTCACTTTATTATTTGTTTCAATTCTAAAAACTACATGTTTATCTATTGGAATATTTTTTTTTATTTTATTCCTAAATATGATTAAAAAATTATGTTAATTTTAATTTGTTTGATAACTGAGTAGAAATTAATTTAAATGCTTTTCATCTTATATTCCTTTTCAGGAGAATTTTTTTTTGTAGAGTTTCGAATATAATGAAATGAATGGATATAGAGAAATGAATGCGTACAAAGCAATGAATGGATACAAAACAATGAATGGATGTCCCAAATCTGCGTGTAAAACTGTGCGTCCTATCAGTCATCTTTTGACGAATAGAATATTTTAATAAACAGCATTACAAGACGAGAAATGAATAAAAACTAAGTCACACCAATGTTATTTGTTGTCTTTGTTTCACTTTTTATGTATCAGTTACAATTCGTAATTAACCGCATCACAGTTTATACCTGGCAGCTGAGCACCTCACATGAGACTGTGACCAGACGAACGAACATCATTAAACACTGGAGTAGAAGAGATGTGAATACCTGGCAGTTGAGCACCTCACATGAGACTGTGACCAAACGAACCCACATCATTAAATTCTGGACTAGAAGAGATGCGAATACCTGGTCTACAGTTGTGAATACTTATGTCAATAAATAGTAAAGATGGGTCTGAAATGATATCTTTAGATAAATTACTAATAACATGTAAGTGATGTCTAAATATAATTCAATGTCAACCGATTACAAAAGCAATCGAAGTGTGTTTTAATAAGTTGTGTAATGAGTTTTGCGCATATCTACCATATCTCCGCAAATTTCTTTAAAAATTGTGTATTTTTAACAGGACGGTAAATGATAGATAATATTTCAACTTTTCTTTCACTGCATATCAACAGATCAGCTGGCATGTTCAGATTTAGAAATAATATCAGACACAAGTGGTAGACAGCGCCACCAAAATGGGCATTATCATGATCGATCAATACGAGATGCTAGATCGATAGAAAGTGTACATTTTTGTTTTGACCGGTGGCAAATATTATATTTGTAAGTACCGATAGAAAAATTGTCATTTTTGTAATAAAAGGTAAAAATGTTGACCATTGTAATGACCGGTAGAAAATTGTCATCTTTGACATGATTGAAAGAAAACGTCAATTTTTGGAATGACCGACTAAGCAGACCAAATTAGACTGACCGACTAAGCAGACCAAATTAGACTGACCGACTAAGCAGACCAAATTAGACTGACCGGCTAAGCAGACCAAATTAGACTGACCGGCTAAGCAGACCAAATTAGCTAAGCAGACCAAATTAGACTGACCGGCTAAGCAGACCAAATTAGACTGACCGGCTAAGCAGACCAAATGAGACAGAAACCAATCAGAGATAATCACCTTTTTTATTAGTTTTTGGACAAAACATGCAGGAACGATTCCATGAACCATTCAATAACTAGATCTAGCCCGCCAAACATTGACGACAGCCATGCGCGAACTTCCCATCCACTAAAGTTACTTGACAAAGCATGAATCAACGCACGTTTAAGAATCCCAATTTTTGCTACAACCCTCCCCCCTCACCCGAATGAGACGTCACTGAACACTTTTTGTTTCACACCGATGAACGATATTAATATTCTGATGTCCAAACCACTTTTAAACCGACCATTTATTACAGCATCTTTAAATTTCATTTTCTCGAAAAGAAAATATGACGCAACAAACGCAGTTACTTCATTTAGAAAATATAAAATTTAGCGTACTTATCGGGAATTATATTTTGCGCTCCATTGAACTCACCTTTCAAACATAGAGAATAATATGTAGTATAATATTTATAAGAATGATTTATGCTGACATAACGCTAAAGAATCGATACGATTTAAGTACGTTCGGATTCCTAAAAACAATTATAGTTATTTTCTATTATTTTATGGAAATGAAATAAATTTAAATGCGCAAAAATATATTTAAATCCGCTTCTATTTTAGTAAAAGTTTAAGTATTATTATCATAAGTTACAAATACATTTAAAGTGACAACTAAGGCACTATTTAAAGCAGTTTATCCGAATTTAAATGTTAGGGAAACAAATTCATAATGAAATTATGATCTAAGAATTACATCGTAATCACATTTATCGGGAAAACATGAAAAACATCAGTTGTTTTTAGTGCGTTGTTTAGTGCGTTGTTAATATTGTGAAATGAAATTAAAAATAGTTTCTTCTTAATAAACATGCAAATGACGTCATAGCGCGAATCGCCAATGTTAGCCTAAACTCTTAAGTTTCTTCGATTTAATAACCACGCGTTACAAAACTGATGACGTATATTCGCCTCCTTAAAAGTAAAATGAATAAATAGAATTTATTGATCTTTAAATTGTTAATAAAACACAAAAATGTTAGCTTTGTATTTTTAACATTGAATAAGATTTACTTTTTCAGTTCCAAAAATAAACTTTTATTGAATTTATAACGTTATAAAAATTTAACCTTTAAGTATACTTCTAATAAGAAAATGCGGTTTAAGTCAATCAGTGCAGCGCAGCTCCATAGCCAAATAGCATTCACTAATCCACTTATAACTCATACAAACGAACCACATGAAATGCAAAGTATGTTAATTGGCGTATGGAAGGTTCTACAATCCGTTGGAAGATTTTCTAATTTTATTTAAATCTGGGTGGCCGATGGGTTGATCACTTTGCCCCATGCAGCATAAGATACGTCTCAAAATAAAGGACTGAATTTGACGAATAATTAACCTTCTTGGGCAAATTCATATCGGAAGTAGGAAATAAGATGCTTACATTTTTACATGGAAGACAATATATTTAACTCATTGAGCATTACATTTGTGAAAATAGAGATGTTACATTCTCGTTTTACAAATATGTGTATGTTCATTTTGCCCAAGGCCATACGTCTCAAAATAGAGGAATGAATTTGATAAATAATTAACCTTATTGGGTGCATACCACGTGGTTGAAAATATAATTAAATTCTCTTTTTACAAATAATCATATGTTTACCAATAAGAAAATCAATGGCGTTAACAAATCGTGGGTACATTTATATAAGTATATCCATTAATACCAAAACCCACTCATTTTACACACGGGAAAAATTAATTTCGAAAATTAGAGATGGGTTAATATTTACTTTCAAAAAAAGAAAATATACTTTTGTTTTTACTTTTCAAAAAGTAAAGAGGTGTGTATTTTTATGAAATTAAAGTTTTAAATTTTGAAAAGACACTCAAGTCTGTTATAGGCGTGAAAAACTGTTGAGAGAATCTTCCTTAGATAAAAGAATTCTTTCTTTTACGATTTGTTGATAACGTATAATATAAAAAACAAGGCAAAAGTGTGTTTACATTATTCATGAAGATATCAATATATCAAATTTCTTTAATACTAAATATTTTCATATTATATTATTATGTTTTTTCCTATTTTTAGAGAGAAAAAAGTGTAAATCAAGGGCACGAAAAGCGGTAAATCTAAATTATTTCTCTAGCGTAGAAATCGTCCCTCAATTAGCTTCTTTAGTGACAAAAGTTAAGTGATATAATTAGTGATAGTTGAAGCTGGATAATTTAAGGTTTTCTTTAGATGATAAAAAGTACTTTAGGCGCGTGAAAGGGAGTAAGGTAGGCGTATTATATACTGCAGATGCATATTTCTCAAAACTTAATGATGTTTGAAAGGTAAATATTATTACATAGATATTTCTTTTAAAAGTTAGGAATTGTGATGAGTTTTTGCAATACCAAAAGCAGTTAGAAATTATCGCAATTTACCTACCATTATTATCTCTAAAACATCGGGTCATTTATTCTAGTTGTATTCTAATTTATTTTACTAATTATTTTACAAACCAAAGATTCATGTAGCAAACGTCTCTTTTTTAAAAAAAGGACTCCATCAGTAACACACCATTACTAACTACGCCATCACTGCTGCTCCTGCTAAAAGACAAAAGCATTAACAACGCCATTTCCCATACCCAAAAATACGTCACAAAATAACAAAGCATATAGCATATGTTACGAAAATAATCTCAGTACCTGATAAGATACCTTTCGAGTCAACAGATCATTCGAGACCCAACTCCTTGAGTTTGCTGAAGAGTTGACGACCAACTTGGAGAACAGCAAGCAGACTGATGTGCTTGTGCTGGACTTTTCAAAAGCGTTTGACCGTGTCAACCATAGCTTGCTATTGCACAAGCTGCATAGATATGGGATCCAAGGCACTACCAAAACATGGATCTCTAGCTTCCTCAGCGTCCGATGCCAGGCATTAGTGGTAGATGGCAAAACCTCTTCCTTTGTCGGTGTTAAGTCAGGGGTCCCCCAGGGCTCAGTGCTAGGCCCTTGTTTGTTCCTAGCATATATCAATGATCTGCCCGAGAAGCTGACCTCTCAAGCAAGACTGTTCGCAGACGACACGGCGGTATATAGGACAATGGTCAACAGCTCTGACCAGAGCCAGCTTCAACAAGACCTCAATCGGTTAGCTGAGTGGGAGATGAGCTGGGACATGAAATTTCATCCCGTCAAGTGCCAGACCCTGTCAGTCTCCAGAAGCAGGTTCCCTCTAAACCACTCTTACGAACTGCATGGCCATATTCTTGAGCCAGTTTCCTCCGTTAAGTACTTGGGTGTTACCATCCAAAGAGAGGTCCGCTGGGACGAGCACATTAACAGTGTGTGCAACCGGGCAAACAAGACCCTGGGGTTCCTAAGGCGCAATCTGAAGATCGGCAACTCAAGCGTGAAAGAAAAAGCCTATAAAGCCTTTGTCCGACCTATTTTAGAGTATGCTTCTACAGTCTGGGACCCATTTACCCAGAAAAGCATAGACAGGTTGGAGGCGGTCCAGCGACGGGCAGCACGCTTTGTCATGAACCGCTACAGAAGCACCTCGAGTGTTGGCAGCATGCTGGAAACACTGGGCTGGTCGACATTGGAAGAACGACGACGACTATCCAGGCTCACCATGTTGTACAAGATAACAAATGGGCTGGTGCACTGCTCCGGAATCAAACAGAAACTCGTTCATCTTCCCCCCAGACTGCGACGAAGTCACGACAAACAGTTCCGGCTGGTAAAAACAAGAAGAAAGTACAGAAGCTCCTCATTACTGCCAAAGACAATAGGGGACTGGAACAAGCTTCCAAAAGCAACAGTTGAGGCGGCTACACTCGATACATTTGTGTCTATTGCCTCCTGTATTCCTACACCCAGTTCATAACACCACTGCTGAGTCGCCCTTGCAACCAGTGAAGTATCCCATTGAAACCCATGGACAGTAACATCGCAAACGCCCCTGAAACATAGGAGCCAGAATGATCAATTCATTGATCGTGGGCCCTTAAAATAAAGAAGAAGAAGAAGAGATGAATTGGATGCAGCCAGCTGGTTAGGAAGTAGCCGGAAATGGAAGCAGTCTAACAGAAGCCTAAAAGATGTAAAAGATACAGAACTTCTGCTACTAGAAAACATTCCAACTAAAAAAAAGACACACAAAACAAAGCATAATGTTGACATAGCTTCATGTAGCGTACAACCCGATTGACGAGGTCGCCAATAATGTTGACATAGCTTCATGTAGCGTACAACCCGATTGACGAGGTCGTCAATAATGTTGACATAGCTTCATGTAGCGTACAACGCCCGATTGACGAGGTCGTCAATAATGTTGACATAGCTTCATGTAGCGTACAACCCGATTGACGAGGTCGTCAATAATGTTGACATAGCTTCATGTAGCGTACAACCCGATTGACGAGGTCGTCAATA